TACAAGGTGACACCCTTCGAAATACGAGAATGAAAAAATAAAATGAAAATTCGTGAATAATGTATTAAGTTACCAAAATATCTACTCCATACAAAAAAAGGCAACTGCACATGACTTGAATAGTCTTCTATAATCCTTTGAAAAAAAGGTGTGATCAAATTCCGTTCAAGACCAACCTCCTAAGAGTTGCAGATGATGGGCGCACTCGCCGGCTTCGATCGACTTCTTTCCTCTTAGCATTAAAATTAAGGTTTCCATCAACCTTGGGCGCTGTTCGGCTCGGAGGGGTATTTTTCATTTTGCTAGTTCTTTTTGCTGGTTCATGTTAACTAACAGGTTACACTTAGGTCAGACTTGTAAACTCGTGTAAAACTGCAAAACTGTTCGGCTTAGACGTGTTGGTTACAGGACTTTACAGGTCTCTACAAGGTGTTCTGTAGAAGCTGAGCTGAGTACTAAGCAGTGCCCCCCCAAGTCGAACTGCTCCGAAGTTTGGCATACAGGACAGGCCGCGGTGATGAGTAAAACTGATCCTTTAACCTAAAAGTCCAACTTCACCTACAGTCCAAGTCCTATATGGGACTTCTGCTAAGAAGCCAAAAGTGCTCTCACTCTTCCACATGGGTGTCGAAGACGAATTCCTGAGATTCTAATTAACACCGACCACACCCAATTGTTCGGCAAATCAGCCCAGCTGGATTAGCGGGCAGGTAAAAAGCTTAGGTGGGAATACAAACAAATTAGAAACCTGACACCGTCGGATGGAAATAACCGCGGGCTGTTCTAAAAAGTGGATCTCGTTTAGAACCTGTATCGTCAACATTGCGATTAATTGCGATTGGTCGTAATCCTAATTCCCTTTAGAAGCTCAATTATCGGTATCCAAATGACCTATAACTTTCATAGAAGGATTCCTTTCAAAGAAACCTGGAGCTCGTTTCGTAGCCTTTTGAGGCTGTATAATGCCTTGCGTGGACCAGCTCGTGCGCAAGTCAGTGTTCTACTCCTCCCAGGCGAATCTGGTACCAGTACCGTACCATCCGAGCCGGGATTTGACTCCGCGCCTGCACATAGTAAGCGTGCCACTTGCCTACACCACCTCCACCTCTGTTAACTACATAAATGTTATGAAAAAAGAGTCCAAAGGATTGCCGCTTGCTAAGGATTCAGTGAGCTTCCCTGTGCGCTCGAAAACTAATAATAAATAGAGTTTTGAATAAAATAAACTAAACCTTCCCTAAAGAAAAACTTTACAATTATGTGAATTCGATGCCAAGAGCAGCTCCATTATATTATGAGCTTGGGTTCTTGCCCAGAACTAGATCTGAAATCATGCTTTGCAGCGCTACTTGAAGCTACATACATCCCCACCGACTGCGAGCGCAATCCATTGTTCCATGAAGGCAGTTCACACTCAAGGCTCCCCTCCCTTTCTATTCCAACCCACAAAGTTGGGAATCGAAAACTCGTATATAATGCTACACACAGGACAGTTGTACTCGTGAGTATGTAAAAAGAGCTTCCTTCTTGAGCTTTTTTGGCCAAAAAAAACCCGAAAGATCATTTCAAATCATCGAGCTATGCAAAAAGGAGCGAAGGCCGTCGAGGTGGACACGCAGAAGTTCCATTGCGCCAAGTTATGTACAGCCTGTCACTACTCTGCCACCTCTGAAAAGTATGTGTATTTACGCATTATTTTCTTATTCGGTGAGAGGGGCAGCCAAACAGACACGGTGTCACATGAAAACACCGTTCTGTGCCCCCTTTCAACTATTTTTGCGATTATAAAATTTCAAATCCAAGTAGCAAAAAATGAAAGAAGGAGGTAGAGAGTCTGCTATTACATGATGTGGGGGGAGGGATGAGGGGAGGGAGGGGTGAATAAAACCTAATTAACTCTGCGTTTGATGCCGACTTTTTGGCGGCGTTTGGTCCTTTCTTCACAATAATCCTAATCGCTTCCCCTTACGTTTATTCCCGTACTTCTGGGAAGAAGGGGCGGATCCAGTAACAGAATGAGAAGAGTTGAATAAGCTAAAAGGACTAAGGACTATGCCCGTATGGTGCTTAGGCGACTGTAGGGTCTCTAGAAAAGGGCTGGAAAGAGGGGATCGTGAAAAGGTAAAGAACAATGGAAAGGCTAGAGACCTGAGCCCCAGTACGATAGTCGTGCCACTAAGAAGGACAGGTTTTCGAGATAATGATCATAAGACAAGATAGGATATGAACGGTTGCAATAACTTGATCGAGCGTTGCATCTCTGTGCTACAGTAGTCTCCGCCTACCGTCAGATAATCAAGTCCCGCTATCCAGTACAAAGACCTTCGTGACCAGTTTTGATACGATTTCTTACGCAAGAGATCTGATTGTCCAGGATGAGAAAGTCGCGCCAACGACACCGATAGATACCCAAAGACCAGTTACCGAAGAACGGATTTATCTGAACACATTCCACAGCTGCTGAGACGAATGCTCAAGAGCAGTGATGCTGACACTGTCAGATATGCTTACTTGCGCAGTCCACCCCGGTCCTTTGGGCGGGGACAGCCAACCGCTGCACTTTCCACACTGGCTTGCCCTTCCTCTAAGACGGTGAAGAGAGACACGCGAGTGAGGACTCCACAGTGTTCGACTGCCTTCACCCATACGATCAGCGTGGGCGGTCACATTGGATGAGATATACAGACACACATTACTTGTATACCGATTAATTTAGAGGTAGAAAATAGATGCCTGTATGAAGCTCATTTTATTATAATATTGCTCAGAAGCCATTGAGATTACCAGGAAAGGTCAACAGGTCAGCCTGGCCATTTGCAATGAGATGCACATCACTGTACTCATCTTGACACGGTGAACTCAGAACTGTCTTCAAAATTTGCAGAACGATTCTCTGAGCGGAGTTATGGAGGTTTTTTACTGTTTTTCTTCTTCTACGGGCGCGCTGGCGCCGAAGCGTTGGCACATGTAGCGCGACTCACAGCGCTCTTCGCGCAAAACAGGTATCATATTCGTGTTCAGGGGTCAAATAACCCCTAGGGACGTCACCTTAGCAAAATCTGAGCTTCTGACTCAACTTCGAAAAAATGGGGTATGGATAGTCATGGCTGACTGATAGCTAACAGCGATACTACGACTAGCATACTGGTGATGACTGGTCTTCGAACTGAAATAACTCTTCAGTCATGTCTTTTCGCAAACAACAGTACCTGGCTTACTTATTTGTGCCGTCTGCATCATTTTCTTGACTATCGGGAGGAAATCCCATTCCGAGACCAGTCATCGATGGTAGGTGAGCTCCAATCTGCTGCTAATTACCCATGGAATAGCCCACATTTTCCAAGTGAGGTCGAAAAATCAGATTCGGCTAGAAACTTGTCCCCAGGGGTAATTTAACCCGCTGAACATGAATATGATGGTATTTCATTGCAAAAACCCTTGTGACACGTGTTACGAGGGGTACAAGCAGAAGCACTCTTTCAGGCCACAATGGGTCTACACTTTCAAGAAAAACTGATCGCAGGTTCCCTTTTAGGGTAATGCAGACGAGCAGAGATGCTAGAAGCTTGTTGCTACGTTTCCTGAATAAATTGCAAAAAAATTTGTCTTCACCCGGGAACCGATCCTACGACGTCTTGATTAAGAAACCCGCTACCTATATGTTGCGCTCTGCTACCACGTTTCAAGACGACTCCATACCTGAATGTAAAGACGCTTCCACGTTTCCTCGCGATAGCATGTGAAACGACCATGCGGGGATAAAACCCTCCATAACTCCGTTCAGAGAATCGTTCTGCAAATTTTGAAGACAGTTCTGAGTTCACCGTCCCAAGACGCGTACAACGGTGTGCAGCTCATTGGAAATGGCCGGGCTGACCTGATGACCTTTCCTGGTTAGACGGTGAAAGCCGTCGAAAAGCCGTATAGCGCCCTCGCCCGAAATTAGTGCGATGATTAGAAACAGGCGTGATTACGGTAACATCCACAAGTACGCAATCACACACTCTAGACAGCTGTGGAGAATGTTTGCCATCCATTTAAATGCATTTAGGAAAAATAGGGATGGGCGAGTCATTCTCCGAACTTTTTTGCTTTATTCTACTTTTGTTCGATCGTAGGAGTTCAGTGTTCGCCGTTTCGTGATATTTCATGGTGCTTTAGACATGTTCTTTTTCTCGGCGTTGTTGTAATGTAGCTCAAAATTTGTGACCCTCCGACTAACCCAGCGCTCTCACCAAAGGTTTCCAACTAATGCACTGATATTGAGCATCAGCTATTTTGAGTTTAGAGGGTAGTTTTGCCGTGTGTTCACTAGGGTCTGGCAGAGTTCCCGAAATTTGAGAGG